TATGTTGATCAGCACATGACATTGAACAGTGTGCTGACCCACATGTGTTTAACTTCCTGAGTCATTTGTAAAGGTCAGGAGGTATTTCCAAATCCACGTTTTCAAAATCATTGAGAAATTGGCCAAAGACACTATGGTAGAAAAAGATGGGAGAGCTAGTATTTTCAAGTGGTCTGCCGTTGAGGATTGGATTCTTTTCTTGAAGTTTGAAGAAGTTTTTAGGCTTAGCTGCGGTTGAGGGGCAAGCTGCATAGAGGGAAAATTCTGTAAATTGATTTCTGGAGGAGTTTTGCCCACAACCTTAGTTTTTCCCCTTTGAAATTTAGCAGCATGCTTTGATACCCATGATAATTGCAGATTTGATCATAATAATATTTCCTTCAGGGAAATAAGGATCAAGTTTTTTTACTAACACTGGTACTACTTGGTCTTTAAGGTATCTCTCAGAATAAATAGTGTAGGCACCACCTTGATATATTGGTGGGTCTTTGTAGCTACGACAATGTTGAAGAACCATATAGAGATCAACTTGAGAGTGTCTAAGAGGACCATCGCATGCCAATTTTTGTAAGAGTCTTTCTCTTAAAGCTTTTGAGCGATGGTCTTCAATTCTACAGTGCTTTGTTGCCACATGAATAAGATCCTGAGTCCATTTGTAAAGGTCGGGAGGTATTTCCAAATCCACATTTTCAAAAATCGTTGAGGAATTAGAAAGGGATGGGAGAACTAGTATTTTCAAGTCGTCTGCCGTTGGGGATTGGATTCTTTTCTTGAAGTTTGAAGAAGTTTCGCCCACAACCTTAGTTCTTCCCCTTTGCAATTTAGCAGCATGCATCTAAAAATTCATGCTTTGATACCCATGGTAATTGCAGATTTGATCATAATAATATTTCCTTCGGGGAAATAAGGATCAAGTTTTTTTTTGCTTCTTTTACTAATGCCAATATTACATGCTTTTCAAGGAATCTCTCAGAGTAAATAGTGTAAAGGTCACGATGATATAATGGTGAAAGAATTGTGTAGAGATCAACTTGAGAGGATTATCTATCTCTTCAAGGAAAGTTTCAGCAACTTGTTTCTTGGGTCCAACACAAGGCCATTTTTTTAACATGTGCTTCAAGATAAGCTCCTGTTGACATGGTTTTTCTGCTTTGTATATCATTTGATGTTTTAATCTTCCCCAGTACTCTTTTGGAGATTTTTTATCAACCTCAGCAAGATGGAAGGTTGCATTTTTGTACAAAGTGAAATTAGTTTGAATATAATAATAAGATTTGTAATTTAATGTTAATTTCCCCTCCTCAAGAATTTTATCAACGTGTTTTATTTTTTATCTGCTAATTATTATAATAATAAAACTCGGTTGTCAAACTTGGAAAAAATGTATGTGAAAAATTCACCATAATTATCATCGGTTAAATTTCCCCGGTCTTAATTTGTACAACTTCCCCTTTCTATTCTTAATAAATATTATTATCACGAAATTTTATTCATTTGCTATTGCGGATAAAAGTTTTGCCTATAGCGGGATATATTATCCATTCCATGAATTTGTCGAGAAGACATCAGAGATATCCATGCCATTCCAAAAGGAGGAAATTTTTACCCATTGATAAAGGATTTGCCTTTCTGAAAACGTCCGATTAGGTACATTATTATTATTATTATTATTATGATAGTAAAGTTTTCCCGATCTTTGTAAACAAAAGATGGTGATTGCAATGTGAGCAATAATAATAATACAAGTAATAGAAGGATGCGCATCAAAATCTTTATTCAAAAGAAAAAGGTCATTTAGTTAAATTGAATAAAACATATGATCCTTTACCAGATATATGATTCCTGATCAAGGTCCGAATTGAATTCTTCTAAACTCCGAACTTGTATTTCTCGTGACTCAGAAAGATTAAAATTAAGATCCAACTAAACCTTAAGAAAAAAGGATAATAAAATTATGCGAAATTTTATTCGTAAAAAGAATGACTAATAATAATATTATTATCAATCGTCTTTTTAATATTGATAGTATCTAATCTACCCATCACATCTCTCCGCTATACGTGGAATTAACTTTAAACTTTAAATCTTATTGCATAATTTGTGTTGATTTATTAAAAAAGATAACTGGTGATGATAAACAAAAGTTTGATGAATTAAACAATATATCTTTTATTCGCCAATATGAATGCAATTAATATAATCAATATTTAAAATTCAAATAAGTTTTTATTGATTTCGAAACAAATTAGAAAATAAAATTATTTGCATGGCCCCGACCAAATTCCATTGATCATCATTTTCTTCTAAAACACTTTACTTTTGGTTTTTTTTTTTTTGCTGGGGATTGGTTTCATTTAAATTGTTTTCTTTTAATTGATATCCATCTATGAATCAGAGAAATTTATTACAAAAATGCGGGGGAGAATAAATAGTCGTCGAATAACCATAAATATTTCGAATAGTCATG